GTCTAGTGGTTATAGCATTGTACATGAATAGTAACACTGGATTGATCACGCATTAAAAGAAGTTGAAAATTGGGGATATGACATGTAGCCATTACCCCTTGGCGGTTGGACCACCAGGGGGTGGCGGTTGGTGTTGAGTGGAAGTCTAATGGCTCTATTTGGCTCCCATCTCTATAAATACTTGTTTGGCCCGCTTTTGGGGGTTGTCTCTTGGCCATTTGTTGATGTGCATACACCCCTGTAAAAGCTGAGAACACTTTCCCACTCCCCTCCCTTGACTTATTGGTCACATTTGTGAGAGATTGGGAGCCTCTAGTGCATTGCATTTGAGTGACTGCATTTGGTGGCACTAGTTGATCTTTGTGGCTTGGGATTTCCTGTTACTCTTGGTGATTGTTGTCACCTATCCGACTTGGTGCTTGAGGAGATCATTGAGGGGGCTCTCGGTAATTGTTGCTGCCTCCAATTATTGGCTATTGTGAGGTGCTTTGTGTTCACCACATGGGAGATTCGCAAAGGGTGACTAGTGAAATCAATCGAGGTTTGGAGAGGTCCTTCGTGACCTACCGACTTCTAGTGGTGCCCTGTGTCATAGGGGCCGAGCTTGTGTGCTCATTAGGCCAAGTGAAGCTGTGATCTAAGGATCTACCTCTATGGGGATGTAGGTTGTTGGCAAGCAACCGAATCTTGGGTGGAAATCTTTGTGTCACTTGCCCACATTGGTTTGCATTGTCAACACTTGCAATCTCATTTCATATATTGTGCTTGTGTTGTTGCTTGCGTTGATCTAGCTCTCTAGCTTGTGTAGTTGGTAGCTCTCTTGTTAGTTGTGTAGTTTAGTAGTTGTTGTAGCTAGCTCTTTGGTTGTTTAGTAGTGTCACTAGTTGTTTGTGTACTTGAGTGCTTGCTAATTTAATTAGTATCAAGAATTATGTAGGGAGCTTGCTTTGTATTGACTAGGCTAGACAAGCAGTGGTTATTAGGATTGTCTCTCTTACTAATATACTTTGCCTTGTCTCTCTTGTGTTTGTAGAAATTTAATTAGGCTATTCCCCCCTCTAGACATCCACACATCCTTTCAATCTCTATTATGTGCATGCTACTCCCGGTTCCCATACATGCCACGGTCATTTGGTACCTACAAACTAAATAAACACAAGAGTGAGTAAAAATACTCAGCAAGTACAACTAGAACTGAAAAAACAAATTTCACACGATCATCCATGAACAAAGAACTAGAACATCGAGAAATTGTAGCTTCGGTCTAAAACGGACGAATTTGAATCGTTAGCATTTATGGGTAAAGCTGAGCAAGTAGGACCACCACTTACTCACAAGAACCTGAACATAAGAATCAAATAGCATATTTGAATCCACCAGAACAGGAATTAAGTGTAAATAAAACTTGCAATATGAATCTTATGAAACTAGAACTTTTTTATGCCTCTCATCTGGGTACAGCTGTAGGATTTACTCATGTACAGACTCACACCCACCCTACACACGCACACCACACTCACACACGCATACACAAATAGGCATACAACTACACTTAGATCATTAGATTGCGTCCTTCATGAGATCACCGGGTTCAACCACGGACCCGTAAGCGACGGGGCGCGTCGCATTCCCTTTGTGGCTCCACGCATGAGAGGCAACATAATTTTATTTGGGGGCGAACCATAGTGAGAGACGCGAGTGCGAATGCTGGGATTCGAACTCGCGCCGGGTGTAAGCCCACCAGCTATGCTAGCCATCCGAGCGCTGCTCGGTTGTCTATGAAACTAGAACTTGAACATGAACCATGAAAAATATAGCACATGAAACATTTGAACTAATGAAAACTCAAACAAAAGGTGCAATGCCCAAAGACAAGTTCTGTCACACGCTCGGCACAAGCACCTCCCAATCTATGGAAACAAAACTGCCTTAAGAACTAGCCTTCATCAATCAACCTATTTTACGAATAATAAAGTGAACCTCTTAACTAAACTCTAAATTGTTAGTTCTCATATTTTCAAAAAAAATTGACCAAAATTCTAAAGTCTTCGTTGTTTTATTCTTAACTCTAAATTCGTATAGAAATTTTATTTTCTACAACTTTTATTTAGATTCTGGCCCCAACTAAGTCAAAGCTAACCGAAAATGTTTTTGCAAGAAAAAACGCTAACCAGATAAGCTGTGCACGTGGCCATATATTCCATAGCAGTTAGGGCACCCGCGACAGTAAAAGTCAGCTACTAGCTCTAAGTTAACCTCCTCAGTAGTGTTAACTTTTAGTAATGGCTCATAATATTTTTAGGACCATATAATAATCATATATTTTTAAAATATGTGTATGAGCCTAGCTCTTGATAAAAGCTAGCTTTTTTTCTCTTTTTTATTAAAATATAAAAAATACTTAGAGCTACCTTATAAGAGCCCCCGTTGCGCGGGTGCCCGTAGAAGATCCAGAGAGTCTCCGCACACGATTCACTAGTCTAACACCAGACTGATCCTACCTGTTTTGTTTAGGAGTAGTATAGCAGTAGATAATAATTCATACGCTGACGCTGGGTTGTCGTAGACGTGGGTGTTTGATTGATTTTGCAGCGATGGCGATCCCAAATCCTGAAATCCCAATCTGTTGCTGCGCTGCGCACAGTGTGTGTACGTGGGGCCCGGCCGTACATAAATGAGATGAGATGGGATGGGATGAGCCTTGACCTCCCTTCCAAGCTAGAGCTAGGGGATTAAACAAAGCGGCCATTGGTCACCACTTGCGGTGCGCCCATCCGTCCGCCGCTCCTTAATTCCGCCTTGCCTGCCGCGCGCCCGCCTCTCACCATCCACCACCTGCTCGACCCGCCCCCGCCTCTCTCCATTCCATCACGCCATCGCCACACCTCCTCGGCTTCTCTCTTCTCCCTCGCTGGCGCTGCCCTCTCCCTCGCTGCGCCCAGTACCTAGCGCCAAATCGTTTTATCGGAGGCCATCGCCCTCGCCCCGCTGCTTCCGGGCCCAGAGGTAACCACACTCTGCTCTTCTCTGACCCCTGCTTGCTTCTTCCTCCCCCTTCTCTTCTGCCTGACGCCTCTCACTGCCCCCAGATGTTCTTGCCTTCTTGGTTCATGTTTGATTGCTTGTTTTCTTCTCTACCATGTTTCTTTCTTATTCAGTACTAGCATCAGCCCTTATTCAGTACTAGCATCAGCGTGCTTCGTTCTTCTCCCCACTTTCGAGATAGGAGTATATACATACATAGAGGGTCCGTGTCTTGCTTTAAGAGGATCTCGACTTTCAGGGTGTACTTTTTTGGTGGAATTGAGTGCCCTTTCTCCACTATGGGGAGCAGACAGGGACAAGTCCCCCCAATCTCTTTCTGTGTCCAGAGAGAGTGACAAGATTTTCGTGACTGGGATTTCGAAATTCTAGGCTTCGATTTACCCAATTTCTGAATGGTTTAGCTGGTCGGATTCTCACGGTAATGGATTACTATTTACTAGACAACTGTAGCCTCGGAAATTTCCATCACTCGGTGCAATGGCTACGCGGAATTGCGAATGCGCTATCATAGCACCTGAAGTAGTTTTCTTTCTTTTTTTTTCCCTGGTTCGAGAATTCAGAATCTACCGTACTCTGCTTTATGACTAATTCGTGGACTAGGGTTCAAGATAAGAAAGAAAAATAGGGGGGAAGCAAAGCAAGAAAGCAGTTTGAAACATCGAAAGCTCTCGAGAAGAGCAAATTGAAGGCGGGCGATGTGCGGTTAAACCACCTTGGTGGAATGTTAGGTGCTACTGCACATATTATGATACTGTATTATTTATTATGTATACAAGGCTTTTTCCTCTGGCACCAGCTTCGTGCTGCTGCTGCTGCTGCATAGTGCTTTGATGGTCGCAACGGTCACGGACTCTCAGTCAACGATCACCACTCACCAGGGGGTCTCCAGGTCGTGCTCACTTTGATGTTTAAGTCAAAAGAGTTGATGCCAACACCCTGTGGTCCATTGATTGATTTCATGCTTTTTGGTGGCAATTTGGTTGCAGATAGGGAACTACTCATTACCTTTGTCCTGATTTTTCTTTCTTTCTTTTTTTTTAGAAAAAGGAAATGCTCCATTCTCTCCCTCTCTCAATTATTGTTTGTGGATTACCATTTTGCCATTATTCATTCCTTGTATCTGTTTCTGGAAGGTAGTTTGTCAGGGACTCAACTGAACTGTCAAATGTTAGTAAAGGAAGAGCTTGAGAAACCAATACGAAGCTTTATCAGGAATTGCTCCCACTCAAGCTAGCACAATGAGCTCCTGTTCCAACCTCTCATGAGGGTAAATTTTATTTATGATGATGACCCTTTTCTGTTTTATTTTAAATACATCAGAGCAAAAGTCAAAAGTATCTCATTCTGGATGTAATGTCCATGTGTTTACATCTTTTCTGTCTCCAAGTTACAGTGCTTATGAATTGACTGCTTCGTGCTGAAAGTCTTCAAGAAAATGTGAATTACTACATTTTCCTTTAACAAAACAAATGGCTAATCCCAATACTCCAATAGTCACTTTGTGCTACATTTTTCCATCTATACTGCTGTCCTCAGAAGCATGATTAGTTTTGGAAATCAGCCTGCATTTATCATGCCACTTAAGGAAAATAAAACATCTACAGCTTGTTCGCTTGGTCGTATTTGGTTTATAAGCCATGACTTATCAGCCAACGAACAGTATTTTTCTCTCACACCAAACCAGCCCAAACGAACAGGGCGCTAGCCAAAGCCAGCACTACTTTCTAATTCTAATTATACTACAATAACTATCACGTGCAGGCTGTTATGGATTCCCTTGGGATTTTGCATGCTTGCTTCTGAACTTACATGCAAATTAGTGAGGAAACCTGTTGAAATAAATGCCGCGAGATGCAACCTGCAAAGCTGTATTGTTCAATCTGGTAGTCTAAGAATCCAAGACTTCCTCCATTCCCAACTGATTTTCTAACTGTGCACATTCTTAAATGCTTCAGATGGAGGGAATGAGTGGATGGTTGTGGAAGGCTGCGCTCATGGAAGTCCCCAGCAAACATCACAGCCCACCAAAATGCTCAGTTATACTATGGATGCTTGCCATAGCCAACCTCTGGATAATTTGCAGCAGCAGTACCCAGAAGCAAGTTCTCATGCCAGGGTTCAGCGCCTCAGAAATGGATTACATTGATAACGATGGGAAGTTTCTTGTCTCCAATGGCTCTGTCTTTGGCTTTGGCTTTGTCACCATCAGCATGTCAGACAGCACATCCTACATTCTTGCAGTAGTCCACTTGGTCACCACTTCTGTTGTCTGGTCTGCTAATGCTAACTCTCCAGTCTCTCATTCAGACAACTTTGTGTTTGACAAGGATGGCAATGCCTACCTGCAGTCTGGAGGTTCCACGGTCTGGACTGCCAATATCTCTGGCAAGGGGGGCACCTCTATGCAGCTGCTAGACTCGGGCAATCTTGTAGTGTTTGGCAAGGACGGCTCTTCTCCTCTGTGGCAGAGTTTCAGCCATCCAACAGACACACTTCTGTCTGGACAGAGCTTCGTTGAGGGGATGAGTTTGGTGAGCCATTCCAATGCACAGAACATGACCTATACACTTCAGATCAAATCTGGGGACATGTTGTTGTATGCAGGCTTACAGATGCCCCAACCGTACTGGTCCGCTCTGCAGGATAACAGGATGATCATCGACAAGAATGGCAACAACAACATATACTCTGCAAACCTGAGTTCAGGTTCCTGGTCATTTTATGATCAATCAGGGCTCCTTCAATCACAGCTTGTCATTGCACAGCAGCAGGGTGATGCTAACACCACACTGGCTGCTGTCCTCGGTGATGATGGTTTGATTAACTTCTATATGCTCCAGAGTGTGAATGGCAAGAGTGCTCTTCCTATCACAGTTCCACAGGACTCATGTGACATGCCTGCCCACTGCAAGCCGTACTCCATTTGCAACAGTGGGACAGGGTGCCAGTGTCCTTCAGCCCTCAGCTCCTATGCAAACTGCGACCCTGGCATCATATCACCATGCAACTCAAAGGACAAGTTTGAGCTGGTTCAACTGGACAGTGGTGTTGGGTATGTCGGTGCTAGATTCACATCGCCTGTGCCCAAGACAAACCTCACAGGATGCAAGAATGCTTGCAAGGGTAACTGCTCATGCATTGCTGTATTCTTCGACCAAAGTTCAGGAAATTGCTTCCTTTTCGACCAGATAGGAAGCTTGCAACAGAAAGATGGAGGTAAAAGTAGTTTTGCATCTTTCATTAAGGTATCAAGCAGTAAACATGGCACAGGACAAGGTGGTAGTGACAATGGTAGGCTCACCATCATAATTGTTGTCATTATAGTTGGAACTTTGGCTGTCATAGGGGTCCTTGTGTATGTTGGTTTCTGCATTTACCGAAGGAGTCACCATACACCCTCGCATGATGATGCTGGTTCATCAGAAGATGATGGTTTCCTGCAAACTATATCAGGAGCACCGACACGGTATACTTACAGGGAGCTCCAGGATGCGACAAACAACTTCTCAGACAAGCTTGGCCAGGGAGGGTTTGGATCTGTGTATCTTGGTACACTGCCTGATGGCAGACGCATCGCTGTAAAGAAGCTAGAGGGCATAGGACAAGGGAAGAAAGAATTCCGTTCTGAGGTGACCATCATTGGCAGCATACATCACATCCATCTTGTTAAACTCCGAGGCTTTTGTGCTGAGGGAGCACACAGGCTTCTTGCATATGAGTACATGGCAAAAGGGTCTCTAGATAGATGGATTTTCCAAAGAAACGAGGACTCCTCCCTGCTGGACTGGGACACGAGGTTTAACATTGCCCTTGGAACAGCCAAGGGGTTGGCATACCTCCACCAGGACTGTGAGTCGAAGATCATTCACTGTGACATCAAACCTGAGAATGTCCTCCTTGATGACAACTTCCTCGCGAAGGTGTCAGACTTTGGCCTCGCCAAGTTAATGACCAGGGAGCAGAGCCATGTGTTCACGACACTCAGAGGCACGCGGGGCTACCTTGCACCTGAATGGATCACCAACTATGCCATCTCAGAGAAGAGCGACGTGTACAGCTACGGGATGGTTCTCCTTGAGATAATCAGCGGGAGGAAGAGCTATGATCCTGTGGAAGGCTCGGAGAAAGCTCACTTCCCCTCCTATGCTTTTAAGAAGCTGGAAGAAGGCGATCTCCGCGATATCCCCGACTCCAAGCTAAAATACAAGGACCAGGATAACCGAGTTGAGATGGCAATCAAGGTGGCCCTGTGGTGCATTCAGGAGGACTTCTATCAGAGGCCATCCATGTCGAAGGTTGTCCAGATGCTGGAAGGCGTCTGCGATGTGCCCCAGCCACCAATATCTTCGCATATTGGATACCGGCTGTACGCGAATGCCTTCAAATCTAGCAGCGAAGAGGGCACGTCATCTGGGATGTCAGACTACAATAGTGATGCTTTGCTTTCTGCTGTGCGGCTCTCTGGGCCCAGGTGATATGATTATATGTATATTTCTCTGCTTTAGTTAGCATGATGATGAATTGATGATGTCCAATTTTTGGGGAAGGCCATTCGTTTGGTGTTCGTTTGTTCGTAGTCATGTACATATATGTTGAAAGTTTGAGGTGTTTAGTTCAAATTTTCTGAGGCACAATTTCACCCCTAGAAAACTAAGTTAGCAATTTTGCAATTGTACACCCAAAAAAAAAACAAATTAATGTCGAAGCTATGATCAGGTGTATATACCAGGATTTGGAAATTACAATACTGGCTGACTTTGATCATATTCATGCTAGTGTATTGTTAGGGAAGGATGGCCTCAGATTTGCCCAATCCAGTGCACCATAGTCCCATACTGATAACTATGCCATCTGGTTCTATAGTTTTATGAACTTCAGTGCAAACCACAAAACAAGCTGTCATATCCAGCTAGGGATGAAAACGGATCGGACACGGACGGATATAACTGATATTACATTTGTTTTCATATTTTTGTCCGGATTCGGATTCGAATACGGATAGTGTCAACCATGCCGGATAGGATACGATTGGATATCGACATCATAAATATACGATTTGAGTATTTAGATATGGATACGGTATCGAATGTTGAATATCCGGACTCAGATACGAACAGATCTAAACCCATCTAAATGGATTTGGTCTCGAATACGGTCGGAAAATATCCGTGCCGTTTTCACCGTGCCATTGTGCATGTACATTCATTAGCGCTAAGAAGCAGCCATGGTAGAGAGAATGTTATGGATGCAAGCATGGATGCAAGGCTACTATGCGTGTCGATAATGCTTAGGTATCCCACTAGTGATTAGACTATGTTTAGTGAAAAATGTTTTAAATTTTCTTAATGTTACTTATAGGTGTTAAAAGGGATAAAGTAAATGTTACTCCATCCGTTTCAAACTAGACGTCGTTTTTGGGTTTTCAGCAAAATGATTTATAATTTAAAACTGAGGGAAGAAGCACCCAGATCAAAGGCTACGTGCTTTTAGGACTCATGCCAAACCGCATCCCCTAGGACCGATGCATTACAGTTCACGAACAATTTGGGTTGTTATATCTACTTTCTTAAATCTTAATTCTAGAGGTAGTTTTCTTAAAGGCCAAGACGTCGAGACATCTCATGTATATAGATCTGATTAAACAAGAAATAGATCAAGACTTCCTACTGCCTTCTGTAGCTGCTTAGGTTCAGGACCATCAAAAGTTTGTATGTAGCACAAACGATACAGAAGAGACTTCACTACGAATTTCTCCTAAGTCGTTTATACCTGTTTACATTGTATATAGACTAAAAAACAAATTCTCTGTACAAAATTGAAGTTCCGATTGGACGAGGTCAAACGAGCTCTGTTTAGGCTTTATATACTGCCAGACTGCCGCAACTGAAAAAACATTGTAAGATTATTTCCGTGTGCACGAGCGTACAAGGAGAGCATAAAGATATTACAGGACAGAAACCCATCCATATATATAAATACACACACACACACACACACACACACACACACACACAATTAGCTGCTAGTTCTACGACACATCATTTAGCTTGCAACAGTCTAATGGAGCAGGAAGCACTTCAATGGCTTCTCAAGGCGAGGACAAGGCTCAGGAGAAGAAAGGGCATGAGGAATATGATCATCCAAATCGACCCGTGGGTATAGATGTTGTTTGGACATGGGAGGGGCCTGAACTTGGACAGCTCCGCTAACAGATCTTCGTGATGCTGGAACAGAAGTGAAAGCTGCATTTCGAAGATGATGGAACCAGATGAATCACTAAGCTACAGATTCCTCTTCGACAAAAATGAGAGGATCAGAGCCATGCTAACCTCGCTGTAAGCTTGCAGAGGGATTTGATCATTCTGGTTGAGCACATCGAGCAGTGATAGGTATAGCATATAGTCACGTGCCTGTACCAGCAAAGAGCACGATCAAACACAAATCAGTCAACTATTACAGTATTACTTGCACAGCAGTAAAACAGGGTGCCCCTTTCATTAGTTAATATAATTAATATAATAGGCTTGGTTTCATATATCGCAGATGCTCTCCAACAATACTTCGTAGTACATAAATGGTGTATCATCAAAATATTCATGTAACACTAGTGATCATTTCAAGAGAAAAAAACTAACAGATACAGGTGAATATGAATGGAGAAAGAGCAAAGTTGCCTCTCATGTTCAAGAACTTTCAGCATACCCTATATTCAAAATGTATTAGATTTTTTTCGTGATTATTTTCATGGGTTGGAACTTGGAACCATCTGATACTGGTTTAACCTCTAGATATGAGAAGGCACAAAATTAATCACGAAAAATCTTAAATATAAAATAGGTAGTAAAAACATTCTAACTTAACGACAAAAAAATATAACATAGGGTATGTTGTCATATATCACCCCACAAAATGTGAAGTCAAAACCCAAATTGTATGGTGAGCAACCAAAAAATACAAATACCATTTGGAGGTGAATTCACCCAATTTTAGTACTTCAGGGAAGTTAATGATATGAAACTTCATATGACGGGTGAGGTGGACAAAGTGAATAGTTCATTACAGCAATATGGACTTTTTTTCCCTTAGTATAATTTTTTCCCCAAAGCAGTGGAACATAAATCTTCATGTTTCATATATTTTACTGCATGCAAATTTTAATTATGATAGACTTAATATTTCATATTGCGTGTTACCAGCTACATGAAAGTTATATAGATTGACAGTATACGATTCTGATGATACCAGCTACACCATGGAATACTTTCATAACATATAACTTTCATTATTTGAAATAATACATTTCTACAAAACTGCAATTCAAATACCATATTGAGACCGTGTAAGCTGTCCTGAACGACTTATGTTTGGAATCAGAGAGAGTAGTACTATTACCCTTTTTCTTTTACTTTTTTTATCAGCTATATTGGTTGATCTTGTTGGGTTTCATCTCTAGTAGTCTAACCCACCACAACTTTCTAGGTAACAAAAAGTTTTGTTGTTGTTTTTTTGTACATTGTCGGCAACCTGGTTTCAATATCTGTAAAGCAAGTGTTTCTATTTGCTTCAGATCCAAATTGCCAAATGATTGCTAACAGCCTTTTATATCATGAAAAAGAACCATTTCCTTCTTCACTTAATTGCAGACAACTTGCTACCAAATGGTTGAAAAGGACTATGCACATTCTTATTGTGCACCCTAGATGATGAAAGTACCATCATGCCTCAGATATTTATGTGAATCAGTAGAACATGGAACATGTACGTACTTTTCCATCAGTTAAGGATAAATTGTTGTCACTGATCTGATATGACCAGAATGTGAGCTATAAACTAACAGCTATGGGTCGCAACAATGTAAGATTAAAGAACACTATCCATCAAAACTGCAAAAAGCTTCTAACAAGTGAATGAGAGTTCCTTTGAGAAAACTTCTCACCTTTACTTTCCTGACAAAGCTAAGAGATTCCTGAAACGTGACTGGCTCCCACTTAGACATGGAGGCCAGACAGGTAAAAGCAAGTCCCTTGATTCCCTTCAAAGAGACATAATTTCCGAAATTCCTGCAAGGAATAATTTGAAAAAGTGAATCTGATATCCCACTACAGAAAAGTATGAAAGCAAATGTATGGACCAAACTTGCAGGTTAACAAAAACACAAAAATCACAGTCGACCAAACATAATAAAGACAATTTTTCATTTTGAAAGAGCTTAATAAAGACTAAAGAGGATTAAACTCAAAGATTTATCATGGCAATTGAAAATACCATAACTTATAATAGGAAAAACTACCAGTGAAATTATTAGATGCCAATTTGGCCAAGAATTCAAGAGGAGATAGAAAAATTATTAATTCATTCGACCAAGAGATGTACTTTTTTATATCATGAAGACTAGGAGAACATATAAATGGAATTAAGAAAGAACATGAACCTTAATCCTTGCCTTTTTTTTTTAGTGGCTAGAGTCTGGAGCAATTCTTAAAATAACCAAAGTAGCAAACCTTGTTTGAGGATCCTACCAATAGGTCTCTGGATTGATACTCCGGGACAACAAGCAACTAGACAGACATAACACCGACCCCTGGAACAGATGGCTCGGTTGAGACTAATTCTGCAAACCAAGGCTAAGTATGGTATGGCGAACCATTCCTAACCAACCACAATTCATAGCAGACGACAACCACAAGTACGGACTCGCAGCGTTTCCGGCGGCAAGTAACTAATTAAACTGCAAGCCAAGATCAGGCCCTAAAGAGAGTTCACTCCATCCATCTCAATCGGATAAACGCGTCCTCCTTGAAGGACAACCAGCACCGGCAATCTAGATTCAAGAGCAAGAACGCAGAGCAGCAAACCGCATCTCTACACAACGAGAAGGCTACCCGAAAATTGGGGGACAAGAGAGGGTTCTTCACTTCTTCCTCACCTGAGGCGAATAGGCAACGGAGAGGTTGGGCGGCAAGCCGGCAAGAACAAGAAGCTTTCCTTCCCCGCCGACAAGCGATCCCTCGAGGAATGAATCGGTTGGGAAGACGGAGAGGATCGGGTGCAGTGGGGACGGATGACAACGTGAGTAGCGGGGCCGGGGTGGCGGTGGCCAGTGGTGACTGACTAGCTGGAGGACTGGAGGTGGACTCCACCGGAGTTGGTGCCGAAATAGGGGAGACGCAGGAGATGCGGGAAGAGAACGGACAGGAGAGTAATTGTTTGAGATTGTTAATTTTTTTATTAAGGGTGATTTGATCAATATTATTATAATTTCCACGCTGAGACATGTTATGATTATTCATCTATTTAGAAGTTTATCATTATAATTTTATTATCTCTACCTCATCCGTATCATTTCCTACGTCTCGAACCAATTATCCGAGACTATTGAGACCACCCGCAGATAACTACATATAGCCCAAAATAATTGTTTGCCATTTTTTTTGCTCTTCACTCATTATAACCTAGAGGACATGTTACACATCATCTATTTCTCTCTCATTCTTTCTTCTATCCTTCATCCATCATTTCCTACGTCTCGAACCAATTATCCGAGACTATTGAGACCACCTGCAGATAACTACATATAGCCCAAAATACTATGCCATTTCTTTGCTCTTCACTCACTGACCTAGAGGGCCCACACATCATCCACTCTCTCTCTCTTTCTTCTTCCTCCATCCATCGGTGCTCATAGGCCGGTGCCACATGTTGTGCACATGCACCGCCGAGCGAGTGGGGTCATGCTCTCGAGCTCAGATGCATGCCATTGGTGGCCTCAGCCATGAGCCATTGGTGGGCCATGAGCTTGATCCGGTTGCCGACGGGCGACGGCGGCGAGCTTGCTCATGCACGGATCCGGCCACCACCGAGCCAAGGGCGATAGGCATGGGCATGGAGCTAGGCCGCTGTTGAAAATGCTAGTGGAGGCAGAGGCCAACGATGTCGGTTGCCAGAGTAGGAAGGTGATGGGGAGTGTCAGAGGGAAAGAGATGGGCCTGGGACGCCGGTATAGGGATGGATGACACGAGTGAAAAGATATATGGATAGATAGAGGGGTGAATAGCCTAATTAAAAATTTTACAAGCTCACGAACACTAGAAAAAGATGTTAGTAAACACAATGATCCTAAAAAGCACTACTTGCCTAGCTTATGCAATACAAAGCAAGCCCCTACACAGTTCTAGTTGCAAGAACAAGAATTAAGCACTTCACAAACAAGCAACTAGAGGCACTACACAACAACAAGAAGCTAGCTACTAAAACAACTAGAGAGCTAGAGCTACCAAGTAACAACACAAGCACAAGATATGGTATGTAATTACAAGTGTTGAGGGGCAAACCAACAAGGCAAGTGACACAGATTTTTCCCCGATGTTCGGTTGCTTGCCGGCAACCTACGTTCCCATTCAGGTGGATCCAAAGATCATCACTTCACATAGAAGATGGTAGATCACTATGGACCTTTCCAAACCTCGATTGATTTCACTATAGTTACTCTTTGTGAATCTTCTCGGGGGATGAGCATAAAACCCCTCACAATAGCCAATGACCGGAGGTGGCTACAATCACCAAGAGCCCCTTCCATGGTCCTCCACAAGCACCAAGCCGGTTAGGTGACAACAATCACTAAGAGTAACAAGAAATCCCGAGTTACAAAGACCACCTAGTGCCACCAAATGCAATCTCTCAATTTGCAATGCGCTAGATCACTCACAATCTCACATAAATGTGATCATGAAGTTAGCAGTGAGTTGGAGTGTTTGCTTGAGCTCTATGTATGCAACAATGTCAGCCAAGTGTGTCAAGAGAACCAAATTGGTCGGCCACGCAAGTATATGGTACCAGAGCCTCCGTTTACTCGGTAGGATCGTTCTTATTTTGGTAGGATAGTTTGTTCCTTTTCCTATAGTCCACAAGCAGCCACACCACCAGCAAATTATATACCTATCATTTCAATTTTGCATCTGAATTTAGTTTGCAGCTTCGAGTTTTAATCCGTTGAGTCTTGTCTAGTTGCTGGTTCTCCTTTGTTCTTTCCTGCAGTTGATCATAAATCACATCATTTATATGATGTATTTTTTTGTGATTGTGCATCGCTATCCTAGTTCCCAAATACATAAACCTGATCATTCAGTCCTCTACTTTCTCTTTTCACGAAATGCTTTGCATCAAGTTCCTTTGTTGTTTCACACACCTCAACCTACAATTTTTTTTAGGTGTACTGCATCCATATTGCAGCAAGTAAAAAAAGAGGTACAAAGAAAAAGAAGAAAAACAAAACAGAAAGGAAGTGTTCTTATTCTAAAAAAAAGTATTGAAAAAAGAGAGGGTGTTAGGATTGCGATTTTGTTGATGCAAAGTGTGTCACCTCTAATTTTGGGTGCTAAGTTATTTCCATCCACATAATTATTCCTTCAACCAACAACTTAGGCTTGTGGTTCACTTGGATTATTATTCGATTTTGCATCACTAAAGTTTCAGATTGCAGTGACGATACATCCCACCCAGCCCCACCCAAAGCATCGCGAGCTGCATACGACATCTCTGATACAATCGTTTTTTCACCACTGATTTGCTGCCCCGGTTCTCCTCTTCAGGGAGACAAAGAGCTTGTTGAGTAAGTGGTGAGGGAGTGATTCCACATATATTCCACACATATATATTGTCCTATTATTTTTTCCCTCTCTACTAATATATCAGGAGACAAGCACCCTACTCCTGCCACTGTTTCTGCTCAAGATATCTAGGCGGTGCGTGCACAAATGGATCGACTGATGCAAGAGATTCACACACTTCAACAATCTCTACAGCAACAACACGCTGAGCCTCCGCATGATGCTAGTGACCATGTCGAGGATGATGATCCTACTGCAGTGGAGGCGGAAGCTGCATGTCTTTGGGCTGAGGCCGCACGCCGTGCTGCTGCAGGTGGTGGTGGTGGTCGCGGCCGTGGTGGTGGCCGAGGGCATGATGTTGGCTTTGGTAATTTTGGTGGAGCTAATAGGAGGCCGCAATTTTTGGTCGTGCACGCGTGTTCCTATTGGAGGTGCTGCACATTTTGATGTTGATGATCATTCAGATCTAGCGATGAACGGGGAGCAAGCCCCCATATTCACCCTAGTGGTTATGATGCTCATGGAGGTGCTAGTTTTGGCCACTTTAGAAATTATGGTGACAACCACTTTGGTGGACATGATGGATACCGTGATCGAGGTCGTCATGATCATGCACGCCGCCGAGATGATGATGGTTTGGGTAAAGTTAAAGTGTCCATTCCTCCTTTCAGTGGGAAGGAGAATGCCGATGCTTACTTTGAATGGGAGACCAAGGTGGACCAGATATTTGATTTGTATGATTACCTACTAAAAAGAAGGCAAAGATTGCCGCCATTGAGTTTAAAGGTTATGCTCTAACTTGGTGGAATCAAATTCGTGCAGAATACCAATGATTTGGACATCACCGTATTACATGAGAAGAAATGAAGAGGGAACTGTGACATCATTTTGTTCGTGCATATTATTCCTGTGACTTACATTTGCGGCTCAAACGCCTTGTGCAAGGTACTCGCAGCGTTGATGGATATTTTCAAGAGATGGAAATGTGCCTACTCCATACGGGAATCACTGAGGATGAGGAATCCACAATGGCTCAGTTCTTGGTTGGTCTGAATAAACCAATCGCTGATAAAGTGGACATGACTAACTACACAAGTCTAACAGAATTAGTTCATTTTGCAAAAAGTGCGGAAAGGCAGCATGCTGAATCTTATAAGAACTGTGTTTCATTTTCAGCTCATAACAGTTCTACTCCATGGCGCCATTCACAACAGCAAGGGTCAGGGGTGCACACACCTTCATCTCGTGCAACTTCTTGTTCAGTTTCGACTTCTGCCAAACAATTTGATTCAAAAGGTAAAGTTGTAAGTTCCAATCAGTCCAACTCCTCCGTAGTTGCAGCCCCAAGGAAGACAAGTAAGATTGAGTGTTTTAAGTGTGGTGGTCATGG